AAAACTAATAAACTAATATTAAAAAACTTAATAACTTAAAAATTAATTATTAATAAATTAAAAACAATTTTAAAAAACTTCAAAACTAAAAAAAGTTAAACCTGACCCCCCGGAGCAACGCCCGGGTCTGAGAGCTAGTTAACAACAATGTTGTGGTTGCTTTAATACTGAAGCGCTATTCTTAGTCACGGTCAATAAAATGGTTATTTTTTTAACAGATGCCCTGCTTACGCGGGGCATCTGTTAAAAAAAATAACTATTTTAGTATGAATCACCCTTTGGTATTATTGATAAAGAATCCTGGATAAGGGATCCTTTCCAGATCTCTGTTAAATTTTAAATTTAACAGAGTTCTCTGCATTACCTGGCCCAATCTTAATTTATATACGTACATAAATATGTATGTATGTATATATAAAAAAGAGAGAACTGAATTAAATTTTGAATTTAGCCCTATGCGTTGACAATAGTCACGCTAGGGCTATTATCGCGAGGATCACCCAGATTTGGGCTTTGTATAATGTGAATTAGTAATACTTGCATATAGATGTAGTTTAGAAAGTGCTAGTGCTTTTTTACTTCGCTTGTCTATTTCACCTACTCTTTTCACTACTCGACTTCTGGTCTGGCTTCTTCGTGTTTGATGTAACTTCAAAATAGAACAAAAAAAAAAAAAAAAAGAGAAAAAGAAAGAAAGGAAAAGCAAAGAAAGGAAAAGCAAAGAAAAGAAAAGCAGGAGACTATATCAGATACAAACTTCTTGAAGAACGATCTAAAAGCAATTTGCTATGGTCTTGGAATCTCAACAGAAGGAACTAAGGCTGATCTAATACAAAAAATAAGGGGTTTTCCTATGAACGTGCTGAGAAACAAAAAAAGACGTCCTATGAAGATACCATGTCAATATGTTCAGAATACCCAACTGAAGAAAATGAGATACACGAACTTGACCCCAAAATAGAAACGCTAAGAGAAATAGTTCAAAAATCAAGAGAGAAAACCAAGATCTTACCATCAAGAATAGATACCCAAGATGAAGAAGGGCAAAGTTCCCAACACCAAATGATGGAGGATACGTATGAAAAGCCAAGAAAATCAAACAAACGCCGATATCAAAACGACGATGACAACGAAGGCCCAGGTGCCTTAGAACACAAGATGCTATTGGAGTTTAAAAAATTGGAGACTGCAATCCTAGGATTTAACGATAGGTTAAACTCGGTGTCTGCCCAGATACAAGATACCTGCCAAAGGGTAGAAATAAATGATGCCTGGCCAATTCACAAATTTGAAAGATTCTGGGACCAACACGAGTATGATACATTATGCCTGGTAGGAAAAGAACTTGATCTAGCTGTAGAATCAAGAAATGTAAATGATGCCGTAAACCATATAGATAGCGCCCAGGAAAAATTGCAAACAGAATGTTTACACTGCGGGTAGCTGAAGGATATGGATGGGAAATTGCATCTGCCCTACCTGACACACAAGATGAGTAGTTAAAAGGAAAGGACGATCTAATCGAAAAAGCGAAAAATCTGGCAGACGTCAAGAGAAGTAAATGACAAAAAATCTAGAATTTGGAGAAAAATGATTATCAAGGGGGTATAATTATCGTGAAACCTATAAAGGAACAATTCAAGTTCCAACCGATCCTTTCGTACATATAACCAGCCTCAAAACCATGCCCCGGCTTCCTTAAGCAAATACTATACCTGTGGGGGCCTTGGACATTTTGCAAATGCCTGTCCCTCCACCCCAAGTGAAAGTACCGATCACGTGGATATGCAACATATAAAAACAGATTTAACAAACAACAAGAAAGCACAAAGGATGATTGACTACACTCGGGCCCAGCAACAAATACCAGTAATAGGGCGCCTACATATAGACAAGCACATCAAATATTGGAAGGAAAAAATTCGTGCCTCAAACCTTATTATAAGCTGGCTCAAAAACGGGATCCTGCTATTTCCAAAAGGGCTAATAGAGCTATCAATGCAACCAGATCCATTTCAGTACCCACTTACAAAAGAACAGCACTATGGTTGGATCTAGAAATAGAGAGACTTTTGAGGGTAAAGGCAGTTACATCAGTGGCGTAGTCAAAACAAAGACCCGAACATTTGCTAGAAGTGAGCTCTATATTCTTGACCCCCAAACCGGGCCCCAAGAAGTGGCGTCTAGTGATCGACCTCAGACGCCTAAATGCAACGTTACCAGAAAAAACATT